GGACCAACTGAAAACGAAAACAATTATTCGGGCTGGAGAGATGCCTCAGCCGTTAAGAGCACTGACTGCTCTTCCAGAGGTCCTGAGTTCCATTCCCAGCAACCACATGGTGGCTCACAACCATCTGTAATGGGATCTGATGCCCTCTTCTGGTGTGTCTGAAGAGAGCAATGGTGGTGTACTCATATGCATAAAATAAAAAATAAATCTTTAAAAAAAAAGAAAGCAATTATTTGTGAGCCAATTAAGGAACCAGAGTATCACCAACTGGCGAAGATGAACTCTGTGTAGCTCTACCACCAACTCTGAATAGTCAGGCTCTGTCACAGACCAGCTCATGTGATCACCCTCAGTGGGGGGCCTTTGTGATGGTTTTGTTTGTTTGGTTGGTTTTGTTTCTGCTTTGTCTTTGGAGAAAGTGAAAAATCCTGAGGGATGAGGGTGAGCATTGAAGCTCTGGGAGTTGAGGAGGCTACTGGTGTGTTGACTCTACCTGAGCAAAAGAAACTAAAACCGTCCTGTGTAATACAGCCAATATAGCCAGGGCTGAAATAATGGCCCCTGGACCTAGAATGTTCCCACAGATGTCTCTAGCATAAGGAAGCCACTGATGGTTCTCCACCCAGAGCTACTGCCGTCCTCTGTAGGCCTGAGAACATTGTCCTCTAGTAGGCCATTACATGGTGCTCATGCATGTTTTGTTTCAGTCATTCTCTGGTCTCCCAGACAGCAAAGTATACACAAGATGCTTGTTGTCCTAGCATCCCCTGAAATAGGATCAAAACCGAAACAAACAAACAAAAGTCCAGTGATTCTCCCAAGTAGCAGGGAATAACATTTAACTAGGGGGCATCCTTGAGCAGTTGGCCAATCTCTCAGGACCTTCCATGGGTTGATGGGTTGGCACTCAGAAGGTACAGTATTTGCACTGTAGGTTCTGGGTTACCTCATGGCAGCTCAGGAGAGCCTCAGTAGGTACTAGAGAGGTGAGCAGCCTGAAAATGGAGCCCAGGAGGAGGAAGGCAGGCTAATCCTCCTGTGGCTTTGGAATGTGAGCCAGAGATCTCTTCTCCTCCATAGGCAGTGAAGGCCAAAGATCCATTCCTCCAGATCCCTTATCAACACAAGCAGATTTTCTTGGGGAAAAAAATGGGATGTCTAGAATCCTTGCTATGGTGTGAAGTCAGCTGCTGCCTCAAGACAAGACCCATAGATCGACTACGTGAATTACAATCCCATTCTAGGACCAGAAGAAAGAGAATTAGGGGATGTACTCTCCTCCTCCACCCGAACCTCTTATGACTGCCCTTCCAGCCATGACTCCTTATATCACACAAGACTACAGATCCTTTCTCCAACAGGGAATCCTGGTGACATCCTGTGCCTCCTGGAAAGTATCCACTCAGATCTAAGGCCTAATCACTTTTAAGTTGTCTTAGCGTCCCCTTTCCCTAATGTACAAACACCCAAATGAGCAACAGTCAATAGCTTGATTGTCCATTCTGTCTGTTCGTTGTAATGAGCATCAAGATCCTGTCCCCAGGGCTTTCCTCGCTGCTCCTATGAGTATGTGCCAGCTAGCCTTTCCAACTCCATCAAACAGATTCTGTTTCATCTGACCAATCCCTACACATTCCTACAGTCTACTTTCTCCTCAGTCATCAGGCAGCCTCCAATGGGGCTCCAATCATGCCCTCAAGGATTGTCCATCACAGGGGGGAATGGCTGGCTTAGAAAGAAAGGAGAGCCCCATTTGCAGGCCTCAAGAGCCAGGGGTGCACAAAGCCACATATGCAGTTTCCATGGATGTCCAACCCAGGTGTCTCTCAAATGTGCCTGGAGCCAAATGGGCCTCCCTGTCATCCCAGAATGAGACACAGTTTCCTTTAGCTATTAGAGAGATGCTAAGAGGCCGTCTGGTATCAGAAGGAGGCCCTCCCTGCTAGCTAAGTGTCTTGGTCTCCTGTTATCCCTCTGCAAGGCATCAATGCACCTCAGGAGTAACCATCTGACCCTATTGTCCTCCGTACCCTTCAGAGTCCCACTTTGCCACATTTTGAGGTGTTCCCTGGTCTACCCCAGGGTAAAACCTCCAACAATTTGCCCTCTTGTACTACAGATAATATTCCCCAATCAAGACAGTGTCGTCTTCTGTAAGTGAATGCTCACTTTGCTGCCTCTTTCTCTGCCCCCCACACCTCACTTCCGGATGCTCATGGGAATCCTCTGAGAAGCAGGGATCAGATGCAGCTAGATACTTAGCAATGCTTGGAAAAGGCCCCGGGGCTGGTAGCCACAGGCATCAGAGCCTCCTGTGAGATGGATTCCTGTGAGGAGCTGGTGGGGGACACTTCAGCCTTATCACTCCTACACTGTCTTGGAGGACTCATCCCTAGAAAGATCCAGATCTTGGAATCCGTCAGCATCCTTTCGCTGGGGAGCAGCCAAGGCAGGGAGTAGACAAACGCTGAGGCATGGCGGATCAGCTGCAGTCTGGCATGGTCGGAGCACAGGCCCGAGCCTCTTCCTCATGGTTGCCATGCAGCTGTCACACTCAGACACATTTGCTCGTGGACACCGTGCAGCTGTCACACTCAGACATGCTTGCTTGTGGGTACCATGTCACGCTCAGACACGCTTGCTCATGGACACCATGTCACACTCAGACACATCTGCTCGTGGGCACCATGTCACACTCAGACACACTTGCTCATGAGCACCATGTCACACTCAGACACACCTGCTCATGGGCACCATGACACACTCAGACACACTTGCTTGTGGGAGCCACGCAGCTGTCACATTCAGACGCTTGCTTGTGGGCACCGTGCAACTGTCACACTCAGACATGCCGTGACCCAGGCAGATGCTCTCTTTCAGGTGTTCATACACCACAGTCATACATTGTGTGTGTACCACACACACAGACAGACAGAGACAGAGAATATCACACACATGCACAGACACAGACATACACACACACAGAGAGACACAGAGAAAGGCAGAGATAGAGACTGAGAGAGACAGAGAGATGCAAAAAGACAGAGACAGTGATAGAGGCTTAGAGACAGAAAGAGACAGAGAGATGTGGAAACAGAGAGCTAGAGAAAGAGACAGAGAAGGAGAAACAGAGACAGAGAGACAAAGAGACAGAGATGGAAAAACAGAGACAGACACACATACAGAGAGAGAGAGAGAGAGACAGAGAGAGAGACAGAGACGCAAACACCACACACAGACACTCATGCTGTTAACATTCTGTCTAAACTCTACCCTCACAGTTACCTGGCAACTGTCAGGTAGGCCTGGCCCACTATAAAAGGGGCTGCTTGCCCCCTCCTCTCTCTCTTGATCTCTTGACCCCTCTGTCCCCTCACCCCTTCCCTCCTCCCCTCTCCACGTGCTCATGGCTCTACTTCTCCTCTCTCTCTCTCTCTCTCTCTCTCTCTCTCTCTCTCTCTTTCTCTCTCTTTCTCTCTCTGCCTCTACTACCCTCTTAACTCCCCTCCCCATGCCCTGAATAAACTATTCTATGCTATACCAGTGTGTGCCTGGTCCCTCAGGGGGAAGGGATGCCTTGGCATGGGCCCGCTAAGACATCCCCTTCCCCCATACCTCACCACACACCTCCACAGAACATACCCTCTTTCTCTTTATCTTTTTATAAACACATCACATGCATACTCACATCTCTGGCTCTAGTCCCTCCCTACCCTCTCAAAAGACCTCCAGCACAGAGCACAGCAATAGCTGGCGCTGCCCATGAAAGTCTGGTACTGATGCTGCACTGCTAACAGTCTGGTCAGGGCTCCAGGTCCTAGGAACTGCAGGTGGTAAGTGATGCAGGCTGGTATCTCTCAGGCTGGGACCAGTAGGGACGGCTTTCAGCTCCCAAGAGGTCGCCTTAATGATATTTTCCTCTTCCTCACAAGAGACACTGTTCCTCAACCACTGCTTAGGCCCAAGGACACAAGACACTGTGGAAAGTGACTTGAGCCATCTTCTCAGGTGTGAGACATGGAAAGAAAGAGATGGCAAAGCCTCAATGGGCAGAGGTGGAAAGGCCCTAAAGACATGGACCTCCAGCAGCGTGGGCTTACCAAAAGTAGTTCCTCCTTGGACAGGGAGGGGGAGGGGGAGAACACAGAACGGGACTGGAAGGCACCCAGCGGGCCGGGGGTGAGGGAGGGCGGGAATAGAGATCAGAGATTTGCTCAGCTGCCCATGAGAAGCAAGCCTCATCACCCCACTACCCTGCACCCTTGAGAACTACCCCGAATTGAGCGAGCCCCTTCCCTATCCCTGCCTGTCCTTTTCAGAGCCAGTCCTACCCCAGGGTGGAAAGTGGGGACCCTAGCCACAGCCTATGCACCCTGCTAGGGACGTGAGCAGACCCCACCCAAAGCTGACCTCTGGGATACTTGGAGGAAAGGGTTATACACCAATGGCAGGCCTCCTCCATCTATGCCTGGTCCTCTTGCCTCTTCGGGGCTCTTCCAACTCCCAAGCACCTCGACAACCACCCACTGCCCACTGGACCCCAAAGACATACGTTCTGTGCATCCCTTTACTGCACACGGAAGCTCAACTCCACCTCCCGCCCAACTTTAGTCCGAATACTCAGAGGTGGGGGAGCCCTGACCCACCAGGATGGAAGTAGCTCCTACTGGGGGGGGGGGGGGGAGGGGGAAGTTCCTTCCTTTAGGTAGAGAAGGAAGAAACTTGAGCAAAGGTCTGGGAGACCTTGAGAACTCAGAGACTTGCTAGGAAAACTAAAAAAGTCACCAGGCACTACAGTACAGAGACAGTCCAACTCCAACGCTGCTGCGTGTCCTGGCCGCTCCCTCCCCTCTCCTTCCTTTCCTCTCCTCCCCCAGCTCCTTCCCCCGCTCCCCCTTAGTCGCTCCAGCGGCTCCACCCGCTGACCCCGCCCATCCGCAGGGCCGCAGCGACCCCCGGTGGTCAAGCTTTCCAGGCATCCGCCCGCCCGAGACAGAGTTAAAGTGGGAGGCTCCTGGCTTGGTCCCCTCCCGTTCAGTCCCGGGCTGCGCCTGGGTCCCCTCCCTCCAATCCACTCGGCGCCCGCACCTCGGGCCGTCAGGACCCGGGCTGTCCTCGGAAGTACCCGGACGTCCTCTCCAAGCCAGGTAAGCTGTTTTGCGTGGTGTCCAGCCCGGGGAGAGGGGGAACAGGATTCAGGGGCTGCACCTCAGGAGTCTAAGGTGAGCATCGGTTCTACCCAAACCGATGGTCCAGCCCCAGAATCTAATCTCCATGTGGCCCCTAGGCCTCTGTCCGACAGAGTCTGGTTGGGGTGCAGGCTTCTTCTTACTCTGGACTCCAAAGCTTTTTGCTAATCACTGATGGACTGTATCCCCACCACCCCCATCCCCCTTACTTCCTCAGTCCTCGGAGTGCCTGGCATCTGGTCAGACCCATGGCCATTTCTAGCAGGTCTGAGTTATCTCCCAAGGGTTAAGGAACCTAAGTTGCCTCGACGGGAAGACACACTGGACTTGAACCTGGACACAAGTCCGTTGTTAGTCTCTCTGCAGGCCCCAGGGAAGGGTAGACCTCATGGGGAAGGAAGAAAACAGCCACTTGAACCGGTCCCACAGATGGACTTCAAGGATACTCTGTGGGCAGCAGAGAAGGAAGTCTCAGGACCTACCGGTGGGCAGGCCAGGTGCTCTCAAGGAGACACCTCGCCATGTCGAGGTACTGCCACTGTGTTTAAGGAGAGACTAGGAAGGAATCATAAGATGAGGGTGGTCCCAGCTTTAATAAAATCTGTCACTCACGGCTGTATCCTAGCCCTGGGACTCCCTTAGGCACTCCCAGAGAGCACAGTAGGGAACCTCAGAGACACCTCTCCTGTAGACAGCAACACAGCCCCTCATGAAGCCCAGGGTATTCTGGGGGTATTATCCCCATGCTCACCCAAGGACATGAAGACAAGCCCCATAGAGGGGCATTTAAGGTCCAGATTAAGTTGCTGGTTTTTTCCCAATTAAATAGTTCTGACTTTGAGGCTAGCAAACACATAGCAAGGGAAAAAGAAAAGGGGCATTTGTGGCTTTATCTCACACATCATCACAGGTGTCTGGGGTCCCTTTGAGGGAAGAGATGGGGCCAGAGGCTGGGCTTGGATGGAGGGTCCCAGGAACAGGTGATACCAGATGGGTGGGGTTGAGCATGGGGGTTTAGAGCATCCATTCTTAACAGCTGTACAACCGTCTTGGAGACAGTGAAAACTTCCCAATGAAACGGTATCCGGGGAGCCAGCACAGTCCTTGGAAGAAGTAGTCAAAACTACTGCCACTTGGGCAGCTTGTATGCTAGAGGGTGGGTTCCATCCTGTCCAGCAGTGATTTGCCAGCAAATCCAGTCAGCTCTTCTTTGGATAGGCCTCTAAGCAGGTTTCTCAGCAGGGCATGGGAAGCTACAGGCATGGGGGCTCTCTGATCTGACTTTCAGAATCCAGGATGAGAAGGGGCTGCGGATTTTCACAGGCTCTGGCATAGGATGCCTGTCACATCCGCCCTCTAGAGGTGGTTCTGCCTTATCAGAATAAGGTCCGACTTAGAAGCACATACCAGTTTCAGCTAGCAGGGGTTCTGGGGGGCTCTAGATTGTTCACAGCAGGAGCACTGTGTTAAGACAATGCGGATAGCATGGTTTCTAGAACACAGAGAGTGAGTTTAAGGTTGTTTCTTCCTTTTGCATGGTTCCACACTTCAATTAGCCAGCCTTGCTGTGTCTCTTTTGCACACTCATGAAATCTAAAAATCTAGAGAACCCCCACAAATAGTCAGGGATTGTGGGGTACTGCACATGAGCAAATCTAGGAACCCAGACTCTGCCCTCAATACTAGCTGGTCGGTACTATGGTCAGCATCTCCATGGACGCCCACTGGAGATCCAAGACACAAGTGCTAGCTAGACATGGGGTAGCTTCCTAGTCCACACGGCAGTGGAATGGCTGGGGAGTGGGGAGCTCCGTTCTGAGGGGCCCAGGCTCTGCTCATTGCCCGTTACCCACCAGAGAAGCTGGGCAGAATGAATGCTGTCAGTTGTCTGTCGACCTGCCCATTGTGGTGTGCAATGCTTGAGGTTTGTTCTACCTTAACTTCACGGCATTGTCTGACCATTAGCCATTTGCAGATTTATTGTGAGTTGCCTGGTTACAGTTTTCCCATGTTCCTAATAGATGTTCTTTAAAAACAAAACAAAACAAAACAAAAACGAAAACCTACTTGGCTATATAGTGAGACCCTGGACTGGAGAAGGAGGAAAAGGACTAAATATACGTATATGTATGTGTATGTGCATGTGTATATGTGTGTATATATATACATATATATATATATATATATATATGTGTGTGTCTATATATGTGATATATATGTGTATACACACACACACACACACACACACACATTTTTGGAGATGTCTTCAGGGTTTTGACACCAACATCACCAGCTTACATTCTCATCAACAGTGCACTGGGTTCCAAATTGCTTATCTGTTTCTGATTGGTTGGTTTCATGGTGTGTGTGTGTGTGTGTGTGTGTGTGTGTACGTGCACACTCAAGCACCAGGGCTCAAACCTGAGACAAGTTTCAGCTTACTTGCTCACAGTAGGCAAATGCTCTACCACTGAGCCACACCCCCAATCCTGTGCCACAGTTGTTGTCAATATGTTAATATTAAATAGATGTATCAAACTGGTTATTAGGTTTCAACTTTCATCTGTAATTAATTTGAGTTTTCTTCAAAAAGGGTTTTAGTTGGTCTAGCCAAATACTTGTGTTTTCTAAGACTCGGTTTCATTTCATAGACTTTCCCCCTTTTTTTCTTTTTCTAGCTTGTGTCTTGTATGTCTTCTCTTCATCTCTATTGTTCTCTGACAGTCATGGATTTAGTCCGTTGTGCCTTTTCTAGTCCCTTCAGTTGTGAACTAGGTTGCTGATCTCAGCTCTTTCTCGGTCCTGGTGTAAGTTCTTACAGCTGTGTGCCTCCCATCTTAGAAATGATTTTGCTGTGTTTCAGAAAATTCTTATTAATTTTTACTCATTTTAAGTGTTTTCTAACTTCCCTTGTAAATTTTTTCTTGTTGGTTGTTTTAAGAGCATGGTACTTAATTTCCACCGTGCTATGCTGTCCCAGTTTCCCCTTGTTACTAACCTCTAACTTGGCTCTACTGGGATCTAAGACGTGCTTTAGGGTGTCTGTCTTGGCAAAGCTATTGGCCTGGGTGTTTGCTGCAACTCTCTTCCCCTCTCGATGAAGTGACTTCCCAAGCACTTAAAGGGCCTGAACTTTATTCTCTACTTTTTCTCTGTCTCCATGTCGGAGTCATACATTCAAAAACAGTGATGCAACCAGAAAAAACTGGACAGCTGCTACATGTGCCTATGGAGGGTCGGCTCAGGAAGAGCCCAGGAAGGCCTCACATTTACACTCCAGGCTGATTCTTGTCACACATGCTATCTGTAGCCGTCAGAGTCAAAATTTAAAAACCTCAAATCATCACAGAGGCAGAGATTCAGGGTTCTAGAGTTACCCCATTATTACATTCAAATCTCTGGTTTTCAGCAAACCATCAAAAGAATGTGAAAGAAGAGTAAGAGATTATCCCGAATGGAGGAGAAAATAATTGTCATATATATGTGTGTGTATGTATGTGTCATATATATCAGTATATATATATATGTGTGTATATATATATGCTGATATATAAATATACTGACATATATATATATATAAGTCAGTATATTTATATATCAGTATATATACAAATCAGTATATTTATATATCAGCATATATATATATATACATATATATATCAGTAGATTTAAATAAGATATATAAGTAAGTACACATATATTGATGCATATATCAGTATATATGAAGAAAGAAGGGGTGGATTCATGACTCAGTGGTAGACTGCTTGGCTAACAAAGAGAAGAAATAAATCAATAGAACCTGTCTATGAGAACAGCCCATTGGTAGGTCTACTAGACAAAGACTTTAAAATAGTCATCTTTAAAATACTTAAAGAACTAATGGAGGATATAAAGGACGTTGGGAAATAATTTACGGATAAAATGAAAGTGTCCATGAAGTGCCAGGAAAAAAAAAAACTAAAAATAAACCCAAAATATCTGAAAAGTACAGACTTGAAATGAAAATCTTACTAGACAGAGTCTGAGGCACACTTGAGCCACCAGAAGAGAGGATCGGTCAACTTAAGATGGAACGAGGAAGACTGTCAAGTCTGTGGAGCAGAATGAAAATTCTTGAGAAAAGTGAATAAGGCCTCGGAGGGCCACAGAGCATCATCAAGAGCAACACATACACTATGGGAGACTCAGAAGAGAGAGCAAAGGGGGAAAAGACCATCTGGGGGCGGGAAACTTCACAAACTTAATAAATGAATAGAAACAGCCAAGAAGCTTAAACTCCAAGTAGGCTGAGCCCAGAGAGACCTACACTAAAACCCATCATAATTTAATCCCAAAGACAAAATCTTGAAGGCAGTAAGAAAAGAATGACTTGTCAGATACAAAGGGTCCTTGATAAGTTTCCTGACAGATTTCTTTTCAAAGCTTGAGTCCAGAGGCAGAGGGCTAGTATAGTCAAAGTGCTGAAGGCAAACTAGTATCAACCAAGAAGCCTCTACCTAACGAAACTGTTCCTTGAAAGTCAGGGAGAAAAAATAAAATAAATTAAAAAAATAAAAATAAAAATAATAAAATAAAAATAAATAAATAAATAAAATAAATAATAAATAAATAAATAAGTAGGCCGGCGGTGGTGGCGCACGCCTTTAATCCCAGCACTTGGGAGGCAGAGGCAGGCGGATTTCTGAGTTCGAGAGTTCGAGGCCAGCCTGGTCTACAGAGTGAGTTCCAGGACAGCCCGGGCTACACAGAGAAACCCTGTCTCGAAAAAGAAAAAAAAAAAAGTCAGGGAGAAACAAAGACATTACTGGCTCAACAAAAGCTTAGAACGTTCATCATCATGAGCATCTGCCCTGAGAAGAGTGTTAAAGGAAATCCTGAGAGTTAACAGGGAGGATGATGGACGATAACTCAAAGCCATAAGAAAACACAAGCATCTCAGAAAAGGAAAATGCATGGGCAACTGTTAAAAGCTAGTGTTACTGTAACAAGGGTAGATAGCTCTGGGTTTTGTTTTCTACATGATTTGAAAAGCTAATACGTTTTAAAGAAAAACAATTATTTGTCTAAAAGCTAGCGTTGCAGTTTTGATGTGTAATTTCAAGGTTTCTTTGCTATAGAATTTGAGAAACGGATCTAATTTAAAATGTTGGTTATAAGGACGGAGAGATGGCTCAGCAGTTAAGAGCACTGGCTTCTCTTTCAGAGGTCCCAGAATCGATTCCCAGCAACCACATAGCAGCTCATTACAGTCTGTAAACTCCAGTTCCGGGGGATTGAACCCCCTCTTCTGGCCTACACAGGTACCAGGCACACACGTGGTGCACATACAGCTATGCAGGCAAAATACCCGTCCACATAAAGTAAAAACAAAGTAACAATTTTTGAATATATATTAGTTATATTTTGAACTGGTATATGGCCAGCCTTCTGTGTTCACTTTTCCCATATGCATAAGTTAAATCACAGATTGAAAACAGAGCTGTGGCCTATACTGAGTATTTACAGACTTTTACTTCCTGTGGGTGTCTTTAAAATGTTGCATGACACATATTTATATAGAATGTCATATTTATATGCATATTTATATAGAATTGTGCTTGACCTTAACAGCAACATAGAGATAATTTCAGGTATACAGGAGGATATGCACAAGCTACATACAAATAGTATATTATTTTATAGAAGGCAGTTAAGCATCAGATTTTTGTGTCTATAGGAGGTCCTGGAGTCAGATATTGAGATTCCGAGAGGCGCTTATATGAGAATAGAGTTTTAAAAATTATGTGTGCATGCATGTGCATGCGTTTGCGTGTGTGTGTGTGTGTTTGTGTGTGTATGTGGGGGGCTGTGCGTGTGTGTGTATGTGTGGTATGTGTGTATATGCATGTGTATGTATATGTGTATGTATGAGTGTGTGTATGTGTGTGTGGTGTGTGCATATGTGTGTATGTGTGTGTATGTGTGTGCATGTGTGTATGTATGTGTGTATATGTATGTATGTGTGTGAGTGTGTATATGTGTGTGGGGGTGTATGTGTATGTATGTATATGTGTGTGTGTGTATGTGTGTGTATGTGTGTGAGTGTGTGCATGTGTGTATGTGTGTATGTATGTGTATATATGTATGTATGTGTGTGAGTGTGTCTATGTGTGTATATGTGTGTGGGGGTGTATGTGTATGTATGTTTATATGTGTGTGTGGTGTGTGTATGTGTGTGTGTAGTATGTGTATGTGTGTATGTGCATGTGAGTACAGGTGCCCACGGAGGCCAGAAAAGAGCATTAGAGCTGGAGTTACAGGAAGTTGTGAGCCACCCAACATAGATGCTTGGGTTTTCTTGCAGGGACAGTACACCTTCTTAACACTGAGTAAACTCTGCAGCCCTGGGATGGGATTTTATGATATTGGTAACTGAAAGGGGTGGGGACAGAGATATTAAAGGTGGAGAATTTTTATGTCGTTAAATTGGTATGCATTCAAATAGTTTCGATTTTAGGAACCAAAATAGTGTTCTCAGTAACCACCAAAAAAATAAAATAATACCAAAGAAATTAGAAGAATATTTAACATTTCACCATGAAAAATCAACCAGACACACATGCAGATAGTTATTTGAAAAACTGGGAACACAAATGTGTACAGAAAAATGGATGAAAAAATGGGGGCTACCCTTTGTAACTTCCTTTAACACAATTGGATTAAACTCTGCAATCGAGAGACAGAGATCGGCAGAGTAGAGTTTACAAAAAGCAACATAGCCCTACTTCATGTTCTTTGCAAGAGACTCACTTTAGATCTAAAGGGAAGAAAAAAAAAAAAGGTTAACAGTGCCATAATGGGAAAAGATATCCCATACACACAGCCAGAGAGAGAAGGGGTAGCTATGCTAACATCAGACAAAGCAGACCTTAATTTAACAATACAGAAACAAAGGGCATTATATATCAGTGAGAGGCGTGATATCTCATGGGTATCACGGTTCTAGGATTACACCCACCCAGTAATATTCCATCAAAATGTTTGTGATTTTAGTTTTGCTTTATGAGATGGGGCCTTTCCCTATAGCTCAGGCCTGCCTTGAACTCTTGAGCCTCCTGCCTCCATCTCCTGTGTGCTGAGATCACAAACATACCAACATTGTTTGTACAGCATCCTTTCACTGTTCAGCATGGTTTGTGGTGGGAAGACGACATTATCATTATGAGTACCAAGAGGTGAAAATTGGAGGTTATCTTGGAACAACTGCTGCTGTCTCTATAACTGCCAGTGAATATTTTTTCCTTTAGGTGTTTCCTGAAGTTTGTTGTTGCCTTTGATTTCCTATGCAGATAATTTTAGAATTCTCATTACAAGTTAGATTTCCCAATTGGTGGACTTCACATACGTCTAATGGGTGTGCCTAATGAATTCTGTTTTCCTGGTCATAAGGGGCTTTCATGATCTTCTGTACAAGGTCCTTCTGTCATTTCTGTTTCTTCTAAGGCCACCTGTCTTTTCAGTTACTGTCTTTTATGCTTACATTGCTTTCCATGGTCTGTTCTCTGTCCCTTGGATGTTCTTACCATCTGTATCAACAATTGCTAGGGTGTAGTTTATCTCATTTCTTTGGAATTAATTTATTTGTTTGAGATAGGATCTTGCTATGGAGCCCTAGCTGGTCTTGAACTTGTGGTTCCTGTCTCAGATGCCCAAATGCTGGGGTTACAAGTGTGTGTGTGTCCTACCTGATTTCTTCCGTCCTTAATATCAAATACACTGTTCACTGACTCCACTCATTTTTCAACTATAATAACATCTGAAATCTAGAATACCTTCTCTGACTGATGCAATTTCCCAGATAACAGGTTCGGACAGAGTCTCTCCGGGAGCACAATCACCCTCGCTTTAGAGTGTCTGTGTTACTTCTTGTCTAGGGGTCTTGTTGCACCCACCATGGGCAAAAGGCTGCCCTCAATCTCCTAGCATCTGATTGAAAGTCACACTAAAAATCACTGTGTCTGACTAGACCTGACTGCACTCAGTCCATACCAATGCCCCATGTGAAAGGGAACCAAGCTACAGGGAGAGGGATATGCCCAGGGTCCTGCACTGAGGCTAGGACTGCCTGAGCGAGGTGGGCATGTTTCTCCTTCCTCCTGTTCCCAGTGAAGATCCCTGGAGCAGGATGTGTGAAGAGACACTGCTCGCTGGTGCTCCCAACTATGGAAACCATGTACATGTACCCTGACTTCAGAGAACAGAGAAGAGCTGGATGTCTGAATCCAGCCTAGAACTGAGCTCTGCAGACAGCAGAGAGTTGGAGAGCCATGATTCCCCAGTGGATGGAGGGCGGGGCAACAACATGGGGCATGGAGAACCCTGTTCCCTCAAGGGATTACAAGCTATGTGCATCCCACCCCAGAAGGGCAGTGATGCATACTGGGGGAGGGGTGTCTATAATGGTCCCTCCTCTTATTGCAGGACATCAGGGCACATGACTAGTATCAAGATGCTCCAGGGTTCTTTTTCTGTGCTCCTGCTTGGGGGGCTCTTGGGGGTCCTCCATGCCCAGCAGCAGGAAGTCATCTCACCTGACATTTCCACCACTGACAGGAACAACAATTGTCCAGGTACCTGGATGGGGCTCTAGAGTCCTGGGAGAGAGTGGTACTCCTAGGGTAAGGGTGGGTTCACATCATAGACCCCACTGGGCATGCCCTGATGGATCCAATGTTCACCCTGCTTCCCCACCTCCAGAGAAGGCTGACTGCCCAGTCAATGTGTACTTCGTGTTGGACACCTCAGAGAGCGTGGCCATGCAGTCCCCCACAGACAGCCTGCTTTATCATATGCAGCAGTTCGTACCGCAGTTCATCAGTCAGCTGCAGAATGAATTCTACCTGGACCAGGTGGCCCTGAGCTGGCGCTACGGTGGTCTACACTTCTCGGATCAGGTGGAGGTGTTCAGCCCACCAGGCAGCGACCGGGCCTCCTTCACTAAGAGCCTACAAAGCATCCGCTCCTTCCGCAGGGGCACCTTCACCGACTGTGCATTGGCCAACATGACGCAACAGATCCGGCAGCATGTAGGCCGGGGTGTGGTCAACTTTGCTGTGGTCATCACCGATGGCCACGTCACAGGCAGTCCGTGCGGGGGCATCAAAATGCAGGCCGAGCGTGCCCGTGAGGAGGGCATCCGGCTCTTTGCAGTAGCCCCTAACAGGAACCTAAATGAACAAGGCCTGAGGGACATAGCCAATACCCCTCATGAGCTCTACCGCAACAACTACGCTACCATGCGGCCGGACTCTACTGAGATTGACCAGGACACCATCAACCGTATCATCAAGGTCATGGTAAGCATCTGTGGTTCAGGCAGAGGCTAAGGATGTTGATGGTGGGTACCAGTGTGGTCCCAGTCAGAGTTCAATGTGTCCCTCTGTGAATAAGGCAGTTAAGGGGGATTAGGGTCAAGTCCTCTCATGTCCATGATCCCCACACAGACTCAGAAGGTGACACACAAGTCCCTAGGCTGAGGCTAATCTGGATCTCTGTGTTTTTTGCAGAAACATGAAGCCTACGGAGAGGTGAGTTACCTGTCATCACAGCACAACCTATGCTACCTGGTGGCAACCAAGGCCGTTGATCCGGCAGAGGACCAACATCCCACTCCTGGTTTCCCAGGGCCTTGCTTGAACAGACCAGAGCAGCAACAGGACTGAAGTCCACCTGCTCTGTTGGGACTGAAACTCTTGAGCTTTGGAGAAACTTCAGTCTCATCCAGCCATACCTAGGCTCTTTAGTTCCTCCTTGGGACAGGGAGGAGGCTGGTATAGCTTTATCTATCAGTCACATGACTTCTGAAGAAATTGAGTCATGTATCAGACTTGGGGAGGGGGGATTAGTCCAACCCAGACTAGAAACCATGTGCCTGTCTTGGGGTCCTACAGCCTTGGAAGGTGCTGTGTCCCTGTGGGATAGGAGATGAGGTACCCAAAGTCCCTCCCTACTCCTTCTGTGGAAACATCCAACCTAGAAGAGCTACTTAAAAGAATGGAAAGTCAGTCTCCATAATATAAATGGAGCCTAGACGTGACTAGAGCTCATTGGTTCTTTTTACTGTCATTGTTTGACTCAGCCTCGCTTATCCAGAATGTTTAACTCAGCCTCACTTATCCAGAATGTGGCTAAATGATTTGACTAAGTATTGGCTCCCATTTGTCTAGTACCCTGTATCTGATCCTTCATTCCAGCTCTGCTTGTCTGTATGGGTGTTTGGGAACTTCCTCTGAGAGTTCAAAGTTATACCTGTCCCCAGTCCCTACCCAGCTGGGGACCTGTCCTACCAACCTGACCTTCTGTCCATCCACCTCATTTCAGTGCTACAAGGTGAGCTGCCTGGAGATTCCTGGACCCCACGGACCCAAGGGTTACCGAGGACAGAAGGTAAGATGTTTGGTGACTGCGTGGCCTATGTTTCAGGAAGCCCCTGCGTGAATTCCACATTGAAGGCCAGCTGGCCACAGATGGCCTCAATGCTTCCAAACTTGGAGAAACTAAAACTCCAATTTTTTTTCATTTCCTTTTGAATGATATTTTGAGATTAGGAGGAAATACTTTTAAAACTATTAAGATATACCACTCAAAATACATTTGTGAAATAAGCAAGCATGCTTGCCCCGGGGAAATAATACACACAATACATTTCTGTCAGTGACATGGTTGCTGACTAACATGAAACATCCACTTGGAGGCTGGCTTAATTCTAGGCTTTAAGGACTCTGCTTGGAACAGTTGCCTGACATTTTTCTAACAACACAGCTTTCCAATTCCACTATCACGGTGTCTGAAACAAAGGATGTATGTGTCAGAAACCAGAAGGGTAGGAAGAAGCTGAGACCATTCACTTGAAGTGGCTTTTGCTAGTGCAGTGAGGGCTTCTACAGCAGTGGATGGCTGGTGAGATGTCTCCAGGCTGCTCCTGGACACAAGAATGCCCACCCTGTGACATCTGGAAATGAATTTGCCACTCACAGCTACCTTACCACTCACACAGAGGAGCGGTGATCTGGGCCCTGGGAGGCAGATGCTACAGGGTCTTCCAGGCAGAGCACAGCTGAGATTCAGCAGGATATCTTTCCACTTGTCCTCTTTTACCTCGTGGTTTTTCCTTTCTCCTCTGTCCTTTTGCATTTAAAGTGAAAGAATATTCATAAGCAAACACATTTATTTTAGTAAGCCCCTGATATAAGGTTAAATTCCCGGGGAGTCTAATTTTCTAAATGCCCAGTCTTCCTAGTTCCTTCAATCCATGCCTTACCTGTCCCCATCCCATTCATGAGGAATTCACGGCTCCTTGAGTGCCAGACTGGAAGCATCAGCTGTGGTCAGGGCTGTGTTACAGAGGCCCCAGCATCAGCATCCCCCGATGAGAAGCTGCTCTGCCATTTTCAGTGTGGCATCATGGTGAGCTGTCTATCAAGGCTCAGAGAAGAGAGTCATCAGAGCCTGGTGGGAGCCACCAGTACCTTCTGAGGAAACTGATCCTATTCCAAGACGTGCCAGTCTGGGGAGGGACCAACAGCTTTTGCCATACTGCTTCTCCCAGGAGATAACAGGGTTCCCATGCCTCAATTTACCCTTTCCCTCATCCTCTACTTTTAGGGTGCCAAAGGCAACATGGGTGAACCAGGAGAGCCTGGACAAAAAGGACGACAGGTAAGGTCCCCACAAGGCCTCTGGCCCCTGATCCCTGGATTTGACCCCCCAACCACTCTCCCTGCTCCCAGAGCTGAAATCACACCCAAGGTTCTTTTTTCCTTCTTCACAGGGAGACCCTGGCATCGAAGGCCCTATTGGATTTCCAGGACCCAAGGCAAGTTCCCTACCCAGGGCTGGGATGAGGGAAGGGAGAAGGAGGGAGATCAGTTTGGGGCAGTTCACCATGCTGTGTGCACCCTCAGTGCTGGGTCTTGACTGTCCTTCACACTTGTGTATCCAGGGCTTCACTGCCCCTGCTTACATACATTTGGTAACCCTCTTGTCTTCTCCTTCTGCCCTCAGGGTGTGCCTGGCTTCAAGGGAGAGAAGGTAAGTCATGTTCAACAGGACGTGGATAGCCACTCCGTACAGCCTGTCGGCGGGTCTTAGTTCTGCCCTCATGTCTGTGCCCGAGTGTCTCCATTTGCACCCCAAAGACAGCAATGTCTGTGAAGCTTGGGACCCCAACCAACACTTTGCTTTTCTCCCGCACAGGGTGAATTTGGATCAGATGGTCGGAAGGTAAGTCTGAAAGGATGGGTGTGCCCTGCCCTGCTGCTCAGAAGGAACAAGGATCGGGACTAACCAATGCTTTTTCTTTTGTCTCCAGGGAGCGCCCGGCCTAGCTGGCAAGAATGGAACGGACGGACAGAAGGTAGTCACCAGCCCCACCCCAGCTGCCCCCAGCCACACCCCAGCTGCCCCCAGCCACACCCCAGCTGCCCCCAGCCACACCCCAGCTGCCCCCAGCCACACCCCAGCTGCCCCCAGCCACACCCCAGCTGCCAGACACCGCTGTACCTCCACATGCACATAATTATATTCACACAGATATAGATGTATAAATATACAAAAAATACACATAGTGAGGACATTCCACATCTGTGCACCTCGTCTGGTCCTAGGATTCTGTCTCCATGGAGACAGAATGGAGCAAAATGGGAATCACCTCACCTTTCTGTGCATTGTCTAGGGTGCAGATAACATAGACATTGTCATACAAGGGCCCGAGTGGTACTGTCAACTGACTTGTATGGACCCCAGATCTACACTCTTGATATTCCGTCTTCTCCTTTCAGGGCAAACTGGGTCGCATTGGGCCTCCTGGTTGCAAGGGAGACCCTGGAAGTCGGGTGAGTAACTCTCCCATCCTCCCTGCCTATCACGTGACATGAGACGTCATTCGGGAGACATGGATACCAGGCAGAGGTAGAAGCAGGTCTTTGGATTCTCTCTTCTGCCTAACCTCTCCCTGCTTGACCCTCACCCATGTCTGGAGCTCTGCTAGTCTTGGGGTCACAACCCACCCCCTTAGGAACCTGTGAGCTAAGCCTTGGACAGGTATGGCTGCCAGACCAGGTGAAGCTCATGGCCCTGGGCTGGAAAGTTTGATGACCAGTCTTAGACAGGGCTCCTGTTGAGCCAGGATCTGTGGCAGAACGAGCCAGAATTAGCGGCAGCTCTGGGGATCCCTGTTCTGTGTCAGTGTTCCTAGCTTGAATGGAGCACAGCCCACCTATGGCAGCATTTAGCAGGGACTCAAACAGCCCAACAACCTTTCTCACCTCCCACAGGGTCCTGATGGATACCCCGGAGAAGCTGGAAGCCCAGGCGAGCAAGGAGACCAGGGCGCCAAGGTAAGGACTTGGCCAGATACAGCTTTAGAGATTGGGCTGGGTCACCAGCCTCAGGAATCCCTGCCCTGGGTCGGGGGGGGGGGGTCCCTGTGTCAGCTTAGATTAGGGTGAAGGGACATCCCAGGCTGTGAGGCTTAGCAGGGAGGTCCTGGCCTTGCACCCACTCTTCAAGAGCAAGGTCACGTGTACCACTGCTTGCCCACCTCCCCTTCCCAGCTTGTAGAGACCTTGAAGGAAGCTCTAGTTACTGTTCACAGCAGTACCTAGTCCTTGAGGCCCTGGTGACCTTTTGCCCTTGGTAGCCCTAGACCTTCAGCCACAGGGTAGGCATCCCTGTCCCTTCTCCCTTGAGCCCCTACCTAAGGCACCTCCCACTCTGACCAGTCCCTCACATAGGGCTTCTTTCTCAGAGACTCCAGCAAACTTTACATTGGGCTCGTGGGTTGGTCTTTCGGGCACCTTGGCAAGGCCTTCCTCCACTATGCCTGGAATCCAGTGTGCTTTAAGAACATAGGGAACTTAGATGGTCCAGCCCCACTGCCCAGTACCTGGCCATAAACAAAGCTGATGTCACCCCCAACTCTTCCAGGGGGACTCTGGCCGCCCAGGACGCAGGGGACCACCAGGAGATCCTGGAGACAAAGGAAGCAAGGTGAGTCCCTGGCCTGCTCACTGGGGTTGCCCAGGATACTGTCCTCACTGTCTTATGCCCTCATGCAGTTGGGGTGGCGGGGAAGTGAGGATGGGGAGCCAGGCTAAGGAAGCCATTGCACACTAGATCCTGCACGGTCCTCTGCCACGTGCCCGGCCATACTGAATTGTCCCTGCCTTACACAGGGATATCAAGGCAACAACGGAGCTCCTGGAAGTCCAGGAGTGAAAGGCGCCAAGGGAGTACCTGGCCCCCGTGGACCAAAAGGAGAGCCTGTGAGTTTATCCTGCACCCACACAGCCTTTGCCTCTCTGCCCAGACCAGGCCCCTGCTTCAGGCTCCTTTGTGTCACCACCTCAGGGAGCAGGGCTGAAGAGAGGCCACTGACTGAGGAGAGGCCATGGCACTGGGGATGTGCAAAGCCCTCTATTCCCAATCAGACCTTTCCCTACTCCCCACCCCTTCAAGGCTCTCCCAGGGCTGAACTCAGGGTAGGATCCTCACCCCAGGGCTAATCCTTAGAAGAGACAGTCTGAGGAAAGCCAGTCAGGGAGGGAACAGGAATGACCATGCTGACAGTCCAAGCCACATCCTAGTCATTGGCCAGGACTTACAGCCCAGCCAGAAGCACCTACACACCTGAGTCTTTAACTGGGGGCAAAACCGACACAGCATCAGTGTGACACTAGAGCCACAGGCCCAGATGGAAATCAGGAGGGACTACCAGGCTCAGGGTCCCCAGAGTCCTAAGGGAAAGCAGGTCCAGAAGTGACCCACATGGCCCTCCCAGCAGTGACATTCCTCCTTCATCCAGGGACGCAGAGGAGACCCTGGGACCAAGGGCGGCCCGGGGAGTGACGGTCCAAAGGGAGAGAAGGTAAGTTGCTCTCAGGAGCAAGAGGTTCTGCTCTGGAATGTCTCCATAAAGCTGGTGAGCCTACCCCATCGTCATCCCCCAGAAGAACAAAACTCTGAGGTCTTACCACTGATGGGGAGTAGGGGTGGGGGGTCCCTGTACCGTCTGAGAAGGTAAGCCTCAGACAGGCAGGCTCCCATTCCCAGCTGTCCCTGGGGCTTCTGGAAGGGCACCACCCATCCTCTGCATGCCCTGTATAGTGACAGAGGCTGCACGCTGGCCCGTTTTGTAGCACCCCCACTGCAGACGTATACATTCCTGTAGACTCCCATTACCACAGCTCTCAAGGATGCAGTGAAGGAGCCTTTCTCTGAGCTGGTTACGGTCCCTACCACAGAGTAGGACTGTGGCTATAGGTCTGGAGGGTATGACGGTTCTGACATATACGATGGATGTCTTTGTCCTGAGGGGTTGAATAACGTGGTCTTCTAATGCTATACACACACACACACACACACACACACACACACACACACACACACACACACCCTAATACTGCTTCTGGAAGGGATGGATCAGAATTATCCATTGCCCAAACCTTACCAGACCTGTCTCCTCACAGGGAGACCCTGGTCCTGAGGGGCCACGAGGCCTGGCTGGAGAAGTTGGCAGTAAAGGCGCTAAGGTAGGCTCAGCAGAAGGTGGCAGATGCCAGGGTGGAGGGCTGCACCCAGGACAGGAAGCGGCAAAGACCGGGATGGAGGGGGCTGCACTCGGGACAGGAAGTGTGTGGAGGGAGGGAGCTGGAGGGATCTGTGCCCAGTACAACATGCCTCACTTAACCTTCTCACGGACCCAGCCAAGGCAAGACCACTGCAGGGTTGTGGGCCCAGTGCAGCTTGATCCCGCCCTGAGCCGCAGCACTCCAGGGCTGATGTTAGGAGTCTGTGGGAACCATATTAAAGCCAATGTACCCCATCCTCTTACCCCCGTCTTCTCTCTTTGCAGGGAGACAGAGGTTTGCCTGGACCCAGAGGCCCCCAGGGGGCTCTTGGGGAACCAGGAAACCAGGTCAGTATGGGGATGCTTGAAGCCTTGCAGCCATGAAAGAACCCTGTCTTCAGACTCTCACCCACCCCTAACCCTGTTCTCAGCCTCTAACCATTGTCCACCCTGCCCTCCACCCCTCCCACCTGTTCCCTACTTTGGCCATGACTCTCCATCTTGCCTTTTCCCCTAACCCTTCATCAGCTCCCCACTCTGCCCCTTACCCCCATCTGGTCCTCACCTGCCCCCTGATCTCCCCACTCCTCTCTCTCCAACCCTCTACCCACTCCACACTCTACCCAGATTCCCAACCTTCTTACCACCCTGCCTCCCAAAGTCCTTCCTACTTCCATCCCCGTTCCATAAACCCCCACTCTGCCTCAGGGCTCCCTACCCATTCCCCATCCTACTCAATACAAACCCTTGCCTACCTACTTCCTACCTAACCCAGTCCCTAAACCCAGGTGAGGTGATGGCCTTGCTGCCAAGACCTGACATCTTCTCAGAGTTGGTCCAATCAAGTTAAGGTCATCACCATTTCCGGTGATGAGGCCAGCTTTGACTCCTCTCTTGCCCTCAGGGATCTCGGGGAGATCCTGGTGATGCTGGGCCTCGAGGAGATTCAGGACAGCCAGGCCCTAAGGTATGTCCCTTCTGCTTGGCAATATGGGATGGGGTCCACAGCAGTTGCCTGTGAAGGTGTCCACCAAGAGGGTGGCAGGAAAAGCTTGGGACCCTGGAGGAGAGAGGCCTCCCTTGGGCTTCCTATTCCCAGCTCCCAGTGAGATTGGCCAGGGCAGTGAGGCTGGGCCTCTCAGACTGGAGAACAGTAGACCTTGCAGCCTCTCCTCTGCCCTCACCAGCAATGACCTGCCTGGAAAGATGGCAGGGTCCTGAGGGATGGACAGCCATGTGGGTACTGCATGGTCCCCATGGCCTCTCTAATCTGTGCCACAGGCCCTGGGTTAGCTGGTACATTGTTCATGTACACTCCATTCCAGAGGTGGGCAAGCAAAGCTAGCCTCACAGCCTCTGTTCCCAACCTACACCAAACACCCTGTACTATTTGGATTCTTCCTTCTCATCAGCCATTCTGACTAACTCAACCCTTCCCCTTCAGGGAGATCCTGGAAGGCCTGGATTCAGCTACCCAGGACCCCGAGGGATACCCGTAAGTCTGGCATGGGACAAGAACTCCCAGGAAAAGCCTGCAGGGGAAGGGGCAAGGCTTTTGAAGTTCCTCAATGTGGCACTAGGGATAGGGAGGGGGTGGGGATCACCTGTCACTTGGTACAAAGGTAGATCCAGCCAACACCAGGAGATACCCGGGGTCAGACATGGCCCAGGATTGGATCAGCATGGTTCAGCATTGTATGGATTCAGTGACCTTTACCTGAGGTGTGTGTGAGCTCCTATATGAATGTTGATATCCAGGAAATCATGAGGGGTGATCTTAGCTCCGAGGTGGGCTTCTCTGCCTGTCACAGACTTGGGGTCTGCGGCCGAACAACCTGTGAGAACTTTGCTTGCTTCACAGGGTGAAAAAGGCGAGCCCGGCCCACCAGGCCCTGAGGTACTTAGAAGTCTTATCTTAACAGCCTTTTCCTGCTGGGGTTGTAGAAATCCTGCATGCCTTGTCCACTGTGGGGATCATCTTCTGGTCATTTCCTTGCTCTCCGACTGGTCACATGGGTCCCCTGGCTGGGCTTTGAGTGGTGGTAACTCCTGTGCTGTTTCCTCTTCCAAACAAAACCCAGGGCTTCCCTGAAAATACCCAGCATCCTTCACAGATGCTCAGCTATGCATATGGTTTCTGTGGCACCTCTGAATCCCTGCTAGTCCGAGGACGGTCTCATAGTGTGGGGCGGGGGTGAGTATACTACCCATCCCCATGGCTAATGTGTGTCCTACAACATAGGGAGGCCGAGGAGACTTTGGTCTGAAAGGAGCTCCTGGACGGAAGGGAGACAAAGGGGAACCAGTGAGTGTCACCGTCCTATGTCCTGGGCAATGGGCTGGCACATGAGGAGAGCCTAAGATCACTGAAGAAACATCCAGCCTGCCTGGCACCAGGCTGTTGAAGGGAATGGTCAAGCTCAGAAGCCTCCTCTGCTCTTCACACCATCCTCAGCCAGCACCTCCTGTTGGCTCTGTGGCACAGGCTAGACCCATATCATGTCCATTTCCATGTCCCTGGCATCATCGGGTATGCTGATGGGCCTATGGGTGCATGAAGGACAGAGAGGGCAAGACAACACATACAAGGGTGGATAGCAGAGGTGGTGGGTGGACAGATGGGTGGGGTTGGCAGTTCATCAGAGGGATGGTTGGTGGGTGGACAGGTGATGGATAGATAGGTAGGCAGACTGGACACATGAGAGTGCCCAGATGGCCATTGGGTGTCTCAGTGTGACTTATCCCAGCATTATCTTTGAGTTCCTCAATGGCTTTCTACTCATTCTTGGCAAAGCTCTGATAGTGACTGCTCAAGACATTGCTAGGGTGGTGTCAGACTTGGGATGGAGTGGGTGATACGGTACTTCATGCTCACTATACTCCCAGCAGAGACGGGGGATCAACCCTCCTATGGAGCAGAGAGACCTCCCAGAACCATACTGAGCCTACTTCCCTGTTTCTCCTCAGGCTGATCCTGGTCCCCCTGGTGAACCTGGCCCTCGAGGACCAAGAGGAATCCCAGGACCTGAGGTAAGCCCACCTCTGTTCCTTTAGCCCATAGCTCCCAAGCTAGTCAGGCTAATGTATGTTGAACCTCCTGGTTCTGGCCTTAGTGGACCCATGGGTCAGTATGTACTGGGTGGTGGCACCGGGAACAACTTGGTCTCAGAAGCCTCACCTCTTACTGCTGTCCTTTGTCCTCCAGGGAGAACCCGGCCCTCCAGGAGACCCTGGTCTCACGGTAGGTGTCACCTATTGTGGAATCAGAATCCTGTCTATGAGTGTCCTTCTCTTTTAAAAAACCGAAGACCAAGAGCATCAAGTACAGAGGGTTAGCCTGGGCAAAGTCAGAGGATGAGCTCAGAGAACAAAGTTAGTAGGCCTAGGGTCAAAGGTTAAAGTCAACAGGTTTGATGTTGGCAGAGACAAGGTCAGAAGATGAATCAAGGTTGACAAGAGTTAAGTCTAGTTCAGAGGGCAAAGTCAGCAGTGGTCAAGTTGGTAAGAACAAAGCTATAGGAGAGGGGTCACTGGGTGTAGTTGGCATGGGTAAGGTCAGAGGGCAAAGTTGGAGATGTGTGTATCCATCTCTATTCTATATATGGGCCTGGACATCAGCAGACATGGGGTGAGGGACTCCTATGGAACCCCTGAGGAAACAGTCGGTGTACCCTGCCTAAATGCACCCGTGGGGGTTGTGTTTCAGGAATGTGACGTCATGACCTATGTGAGGGAGACCTGTGGGTGCTGTGGTGAGTTGGCCTAGCACATCGGGATGTGTGCGTGGTGGCTGGAGGGATGGATCACTCCAGTATCTCTGGCCCTGGGACTTAAATGTCTTCACACTTCCTACTCACTAATGTTGTTATCCTACACACCCTTCCAGACTGTGAGAAGCGCTGCGGCGCCCTGGATGTGGTCTTCGTCATCGACAGCTCCGAGAGTATCGGCTACACCAACTTCACCTTGGAGAAGAACTTTGTCATCAATGTGGTCAACAGGCTGGGCGCCATTGCCAAGGACCCCAAGTCTGAAACAGGTCAGTGAAAACCTAGAAGGACCCCCGAGGTAGAAACCAAATCCCTACTTCTAGCCAGAATCAAGGCTCTGCCACTTAGCCAATGATTCATTCCAGGCGACCGAGCCGTGGCGGACACTGTTCACACTGTTGTTCTCTTGTAGGTACACGTGTGGGTGTGGTGCAGTACAGCCACGAGGGCACCTTTGAGGCCATCCGACTGGACGACGAGCGAGTCAACTCCCTGTCCAGTTTCAAGGAGGCTGTCAAAAACCTCGAATGGATCGCCGGTGGCACTTGGACGCCCTCTGCCCTCAAGTTCGCCTATAATCAGCTTATCAAAGAGAGCCGACGCCAGAAGACCCGGGTGTTCGCAGTGGTCATCACAGATGGCCGCCATGACCCCCGAGATGATGACCTCAATCTTCGGGCACTGTGTGACCGTGACGTCACCGTGACAGCCATCGGCATCGGTGACATGTTCCACGAGACTCATGAGAGCGAGAACCTCTACTCCATCGCCTGTGACAAGCCACAGCAGGTGCGCAACATGACGCTGTTCTCTGACCTGGTGGCCGAGAAGTTCATCGATGACATGGAAGACGTCCTTTGTCCGGGTGAGTGATAGAACCCAGGCCTTTACCTCTAGAAGGCTGACTACTGAGAGTCCAGCAGGAACTAATAGAGACCTGGTCTCTTTTCTCTCTTCTAGACCCTCAGATCGTGTGCCCAGAACTTCCCTGCCAAACAGGTAACCGGGGTACCTGAAACCCTTATCCCAGACAAGCAGAGCAGCCCCAGCATCTTTCCCGTTCTAACAGGAATTGTGCAGCCTCAAGGGTTTGTCAGTGTGGAGGCATCTCCTTAGAGAGAAACCCTTGAAGTTTACCCCTGGCATGGTAGAGTCAGAGGCTCAGGGTGAGGACTGGCTCCTGAGAGCATGTAGTACCATCCTGAGCCCCTGCAGGGTACCATCAGGGCAGAGACTGCTGGCCTGGCAGTGCTTGGCTCTTGGCCATTGATCAAAAAGGCATTTCAGCACAAAAGGAGTCTCTTCCAAGAATCGGAAGTCTCCCTACCACTGGATGCTCTCCTTTTGGTTCACAGAGTCAGGCTCTCCCTTGCCTTCCTTTCATCCCTGGACTTCCAGGAGCTCTGTTGTGGGCAGACATGGCTAGGTCTGGCAAGCTCTGGTCAAAAGATGAAGCCCTAAAACTGATAGGCTGGGATGGCTGGTGTTAGACATCGGGAGACAAGCACAGTGATACCCACCAGCAGTTGATAGCTTTGCTTCTAACCCTGCAGCTGCCTTTGTGGCCTTCGTAGTAAAAGACTGGAACAAGCGCTGCTACTCCCAAGGGAGGGTGGGAGGTGTCCCTGCTGTGCTGTGCTGAGGGTCCCTGACGATGCCTCCCCAAGATGCTACTGCAGAGTACCTGAGCAAGAGCCTCAGAAAGATGTCCTAGACTCTCCAGGGCTATTCAGTCCCTTCTGCAAGCCCTACTCATCTGGGAGTGTTGAATAGGGGCTGAGCCAGTTCTGCATGGTGAGGCTACTGTGGAGACGGGCCACAGGCAGTAGTCCTCATAGCCCGCACTGTGCTACGTCTTCCTACAAAGCCTCACCTATACCTTGATCCCTCCCAAAGACAAGGTGGCCCACTGAGCATGTGCACAGGCTCAGAGCCCCCCTGATGGAAGGGAGCACGTGGCCTGGGAGTCAGTCTCATGCTGTTCAAACAGAGATCACTACCAAGAGAACACTCTCAGGGCATGCCTTGACCTCAGCCATCCAGTAAAGGTGTATGGGAAGGATTGTGTGGGGCTCCGAGCACTGGCTTCAAGTTGCCAGCTCTGGGATCTGTCAAAGATTAGGGGCCATGTCTGCAGCGAGACCTTACAGCTACACCTTCAACCCTGGCTCCCAGCACCTTGACTGGGCTCCTAGGTGAAGCTGTACTTTGGTAGGTGATGCTATCCAGCTATAGCCCAGTATTGCAGAGCCTTAAGTGGGGTTTGTATAGAGGAGGCTGATTCCACACATGACTCTACCCCCTCCAGCACAGAAGCCAGACCTTGATCCCCGAGTCTTGCTACTGTTCACAGTTGGAAAGGTTCACGTTTCTACTCTTTTGACGAGTTGTGCAGCTGTGGGGTTCTGGGGCTGTCTTTGGGAGTAGCAAGTTCCCCCTTTTAGTTATTGAACTTCGGTATCAGGGAAGAAAGGTATTGAATCTTGTCATATGCTGGCTCTGTTGGTGACACCTTGTGAGGCTTCAATGGCTATAAAAGCAATGGTCAGTTGGATTGATTTTTGATTACTGAGTAAGCCCTGTGTCTCTGAGGCAGATCCCGTGTCTCATGGGCCACCTCGGTTATGGCTGCTGAGTTTGAGTTCACTTCTATGTTCAAAGAGCTGTCTCTGCATCTTCCTTTCTGGTGACAACTGTGTCTGGATTGTACAGGGTGATGCTAGATGATAGAATATACAGGTTCTAGAGTGGGGTACTGAGTCAGACGGTTTCCCCCTTTGGACACACCAGCTCTGGAGGGTGGCAAGATCAAGAGGAAATCGGAATCTCCATTTATTCTGAGGCCTTAGGAGTCCACAAAGCACAGTGGTCCCTACAAGATCCCGTCCATATTCCGCATCTCCCTAATATCCTCCTGCTGAGCTTTTAAAGCATATCTGCATTTACCGTTATATTTACCGTTATATGAAATTTCAAGGTAAATTAGACACGGTGATAGGGTAGGGGGCTCATAGCAACCTTAGATGGTGTCTTTCATGAATGAGGTCCTGGGTGAGCATTTCTGATATAAATATGGTGTCAACAACACTCCCAACTCTGACCTAGCCCTGACCTTCTGAGTCAAGTAGCTACTAGCCCTGTCTATCCAGAAGCCTGGTTACCTTGGACCTGTCTCAAGCCGGGGATGATGTCCGTCATTAGGGACTACTAAGTGTGCCTGAGAAGCCCAAGACAATAGGAAGAAAATTGGTAATGACCACAGTACCAAAGACTGTAGAGGGATCTGAGTATGGACTGTGGAAATGAAGGAGAACCCCTGGAGCTATTCCCAACCCGTGAGTTGTGACCCCTTTGGTAGCCAATAACCCTTTCACGGGGGTCACTCAAGACTATAAGAAAACACAGGTATTTACATTATGATTCATGGCAGCAATAGAATTACAGTTGGAAAGCAGCACCTAAATAATTTTATGGTTGGGGGTCATTACAATATGAGGAAGTGTATAAAGGGTCTCACCATTAGGAAGGTTGAGGACCACTGCTCTAGAGCATCCCCCAGGGAGGCCCAAGGTCTTGGCCCTGTGATGGACACATCTGAGTTTCCTCACGCCTCCTTGGTTACCAGGGAAAAGGGAGTGAGTTGGGCCATGACATCTACTGAGTTGTAGTCATACCCTTCTGCCCCAGCAGACACTGTGAACCGGAAAGAGGAAATAGTCAGAGAGAGGGAGAGGGAGAAGAGAGGGGGAGAGAGAGAGAGAGAGAGAGAGAGAGAGAGAGAGAGAGAGAGAGAGAGAGAGAGAGAGAAGAGGAGAGGGGGATAAAGAAACAAGAAAAGGAGGGGAGATAAGAGAAGCAGAAAGGGAGGGAGAGAGACACAAAAAGAGAGATGAGGAAGGGAGGGAGGGAGGGAGGGAGGGAGGGAGGGAGGGAGGAGGGAGAGAGAGAGGATCTTGCTCTCCCTTGGTGCCTGTACCCCTCAGTCTCAGACCCTCATGGACAGGTCCTAGGAATAGCAGATCATAAGTCTGGGACCAAAAGGTTAGCATTGTGGTTTTGTCTGTGGGTGCTGTCTGGAGCTGGCTCTTCCTAGGGATGTGGAGATGCAGAACCAGTTGGGGAAGTTTATAGCATTTGTGCACATCTCTCAGTTGGGCTTGGGCACTAATGCTCCACACTGAGTTTCTCTAGAGCTCTGTGGATTCCCCTAAAACTGCTACTGGGCTGTCTCCTTGGCTGTATTGCTTGCTCTCAGCTTCATCAGCCCCGCCGGCTTCCTGCCTAGGCTAGACACCACCACTGCTCTGTCCTCCCATCTCCTACGTGTCTCTTTGGTCCTAACTACTGTCCATGGTCTGAGGCCTAAGGAGGGCCGGAGGCCAGCCACACGCGCTGGACCTCCTAAAGTCTTCTCTGGACACTCCCTTGCAGATGAACCATGGCCTGGCAACAAGCCCCCGGTCACCTTCCTCCGCACGGAAGAGGGTCCGGACCCCACCTTCCCCAAGACCATCCCCCTGATCCAGCAGTTGCTAAACGCCACGGAGTTCACACAGAACCCAGCTGCCTACTCCCAACTGGTGGCTGTGATGGTCTACACCGCCGAGAGGGCCAAGTTCTCCACAGGGGTCGAGCGGCAGGACTGGATGCAGCTGTTCATTGACACTTTTAAACTGGTGCACAGGGATATCACAGGGGACCCAGAGAGCGTGCTGGCACTCTGCTAAAGCCTCCGGTTTCACTGTGGCCAGATAGCCAGAGCTAACCCCTCATTTCTTAAAGATTCCCAGGGCTGCCGCCACAGGCTGGGGCCTTAGGTAGTGGGAACCTAGGAACCTGCCCTCCCACTCCTGAGAACAGAAGTCTAGAATCGTATGTCTTTAATATGATACTCTCTGAAGGGTCCCTCCTGCTTCCTCCAGCCTCTGGTAGGGCTTCCATCCTTGGCTTGTGGGGCACACCTCTCCAGTATCACTTCTATCTTCCCATAGACTCTTTTCTTTTTATCCCTGTGTCCCCTTCTCCTCCTCTTCCTCTCCTTCTTCTTCCTCCTCCTCCGTTCTCCTCCTTCTCCTCCTCTTCCTCATCTTCCTCTTTCTCCTTCTCCTCCTTCTCTTCTGCCTCCTCCTCCTACTACTCCTCATCTTCCTCCTCCTTCTCTTCCTCCTCTTTTCTCTTCTTCCTCCTCCCCTTCCTCTTTCTTCCTCTTCCTCTTCTTCTTCCTTTTCTTCCTCTTTCTCCTCCTCTTTCTCCTCCTCTTTCTCTTCCTCCTCATCTTCCTCCTCTCTTTCCTCCTCCTCCTCCTCCTCCTCCTCCTCCTCCTCCTCCTCTTGTTTTGTGTTTTGTTTTTAGAGACAAGGTTTCTCTGTATTACAGCCTTGGCTGTTCTGGAACTTGCTTTGTAGGCCTGGAACTCACAGAGATTTGCCTGCTTCTACCCTGCCCCGCCACCCCCCAGTGCTGTCTACACCCCGCTTTGCTCTCTTCTTTTTTTTTTACAAGGACATCAGTGATTGAAGGCCCACCTTAAGCCCCAGAAGCTCACATGTGGCAAAGGACTGTACCATCAGGATTATATTAAGGTTCTGTCCAGCTGAGAAGCCCTGTGTTTGAGAACACATACGGGGGTGATGCTATTTGAATGCTTAGGGAGGTCCCCCTGTCCTGGTCCTGTCTGGGCCCCATGTTTGGTGTCAGGTATGTGATCATGACTCATAGAAAACATGGGACTGTAACAAGGGACTTCATGTGTCTCAGCAACTGTCATATCCATTAGGTCAAAGTCCCTGTGTGCCCCAAACACCAAGCTGTGGGCCCAGCCTGGTCTCTGTATATGAAGGCATCTTGAGGATAGTGTATGACAGGCAGAACTTTTGAGACCCTCAGCCACCTGACTAAGAACCATAAAAGCATCCTCTTCCAATATGGGGAGTATCAAGGGACCCATGCAAAGTCACTAGCCACCAAGGCAAGTTCATGAACCTGGCATGTTCTGACTGAGCTCAAGGGACCTCATCAGGTCAGACAGATGTCTTCGAACTCATCTGTGCCCCTCTCTCCCAGGGTGAGGCTTATCCTCCTGGGAGGGTGACATCCCAGAGCAGGCTAGGGCTAGACTCTCTGCTGTGAGGTTACAGGTAGAAGAAGGAAACCCCACAGAAACAGAGCATAGAGCCCACTCCTGAGTTCCCAAACTCCCAACTGCTTTTGTATTTTCACTGGAGTCCCCTGGTCTCCTCCAGGCCCTGTAGATGTTGATGTTAATGGACAGTGGTCAAGCCAGCAGCCCTCACTGCCTGCCTGCCTCTGGGTTTTGTGGTAATAACTGTGAGGGGGGTCGGTCAGTTATGAGGAGCTAGGAAATCCAGTCGTCTCCCAAAATTTTCTCGACATCCTGAGCAGATTCCAGAGATGGTGGACAATAAATAAGATATGTGGCTATCAAGCTCAGTAAGAAAGACCCTGCCCGTCAGGGCCACTACCTGACTCTAGGGCTCAGACTCAGAGGTAGTGAGCAATTGTAAACGTTTTATAAAAAGATGAAATCTGTAATGATGCGTTGCTGTGGTCAAATGGCAAGTTGGGCTAGCATACACTGGGATGAACCCTCACAGACAACTAAAGTCTAGGGGAAAGGAAGGGTGAGGATCAGATGGGGTAGGGGTGGGGTAGGTACTCCGGCAGCCAGGTCTTGCCTCAGCCTTCTTGGTCATACGTGACTGGAGTCAAGCTGTTCTTATTGTGGTTCCCTGGGGTCCCGAATGCCTGGTGGGCTGAAGTCATATTCCCCAAGGAAGAGCCAAGATGGATGTCTGGTGAATAGACAGCAAGACCCTAGCCTCCTGTGGTCTCTGAAACCTCTGTGTGTGTGTGTATATGTGTGTGTGTGTGTGTGTGTGTGTTCTCAGCTCCCATAGTGCTATGTGTCTGGGCTGGTGACTACTCACCAGAGGAAGGGGTAGGCACCTCTTGGTAGCATTGAACCCACCATGGTCGTGTCTGAATTGCTTCAGCCATACTAAATATATATTGCTATATATTTGGTATATAGCAGTATACCAAGGCTACAGTGAATGCCAGAACACATGGGTCCTTCCTCTTTCTGGGAGATATATGGTTCAGACAGTCCAGGTGACTCAGAAATAAGTGACCTCTAGGAGAGGGAGTCAGGTTCAGGGGCCTTAACTTTTTTTTTTAAGATTTATTTATTTTATGTATGTGAGTACACTGTCGCTGTCTTCAGACACACCAGAAGAGGGGATCAGATCCTATTACAGAGGGTTGTGAGCCACCATGTGGTTGCTGGAAATTGAACTCAGGACCTCTAGAAGAACAGCCAGTGCTCTTAACCACTGAGTCATCTCTCCAGCCCCAGGGGCCTTATCTTGACCCTCCCACCAGAGAGTGACCTTTATGTGAATAACAGAACCTTGGGCTGAGTGAGAGTCCCAGATTGATGGAGGGTGAGACCATGCTTGGTGACAAAAGATGAATCTTCTGGCCTCTAGCCAGATTTCCAGTCCTCTAGTTTGGGGACATTTAAGAAAAAGTTCCAGGGAGCAGTAGACATACGCCCAAGGAGCTGCTCTGTTGAGGTCTCTATTGGTGACTGAGTGATGCTCCAGAGTCCCACGACCTGGGATCCAATAAGCAGGTTGTGTGCAGAAATGGGATGAGTTTCAAGCTGGCTACCCCTTGCCTGCCTGGTCCCACCTTACATCTTCCCTGCAGAGCTTTATGTGGCCCAGTGCACACAACGGCCCGTGGACATTGTCTTCCTGCTGGATGGCTCGGAGAGACTGGGCGAGCAGAACTTCTACAAGGCACGGCGCTTCGTGGAGGAGGTGTCACGGCGCCTGACTCTGGCAGGAAGGGACGACGACCCGCTCAACGCCCGCATGGCCCTGTTGCAGTATGGCAGCCAGAATCAGCAGCAGGTGGCCTTCCCACTGACCTACAATGTGACCACCATCCACGAGGCACTGGAGCGAACCACCTACCTCAATTCCTTTTCTCACGTGGGATCGGGCATCGTGTACGCCATCAACAACGTGGTGCAGGGGGCACGGGGTGGGGCACGGCGTCACGCAGAGCTCTCCTTCGTCTTCCTCACGGATGGCGTCACGGGCAACGACAGCCTGGAGGAGTCGGTGCACTCCATGCGGAAACAGAACGTGGTGCCCACCGTGGTCGCTGTGGGCGGTGATGTGGACATGGATGTGCTCACCAAGATCAGCCTGGGTGACAGGGCGGCCATCTTCCGGGAGAAAGACTTTGACAGTCTGGCCCAGCCCAGCTTCTTCGACAGGTTCATCCGCTGGATCTGTTAGCACCGCCATGCTTGGCCATCTCTTGACCAACTCCCCATCTGTGGTGCTAATAGGACCCTAGCCCTGCCGGTTGCAGCTAGACGGTATACTTGGGTCTTTCTAGAAAGTGAAAGCCCTTCTCCCAAGGTCAGGACAGAAGGACTCTGAACCCAAAGCCCCTTACCTACCTTCAGTTCCCTTGGCTTCCCCTCCCGACGTCCCCATTCTACCTATACCTTGCCCTTAAGCGTTGGAGGATTCCAGAGTCTTCCTGCTGCCTGTTTCCCACAGCCTCTGTCCCTCGCTTCCCTTTCCACTTCATGCATCCGCTAGTTCCTTCTGAAGGCTGTCTGCTGCCCTGCACCAGTCCTGTCCGGGGCCCTCTCTTTCTCTGCCCATTATTTCCTATCTCAGGAGATCAGACCTGAGAGCCCCATGTCACATACCCAATGGCCCAATAAAGGTTTTGAGCCTCCCTGTTGCTACCAGATCCCCAGCGTCTGTGCCCAATAGGGTCTTATCCCAGGTAGGTACCACACACACTAGCTCTCCTTTTCACTCTAAGACGGCACTCTGGATATTTACATGCCCACCAGTTAGCCACCCTTCATGGGGACAGGGACTACAAAAGGTACTACACTGTCCCTAATGAATATTTAGCACAGCCTCAACATAGACTCCATCCCGGCCAGTGAATGTCAACTAAAATTGCCATCCTGTGATCGTGAGCTGTCTCTTAAGCCTGTGATCAGGGCAGGGTGATCTCAGACTGCCAGGTGGCTTGAATAGAACTCTTATGGAAGGATAGATGAATAGTGGGTTATGGGTGGATGGGACAAATGACCATCAAAAGACAGTCTATTTCAGTGTGGGTTATTTGGGGCAAATGACCATCAAAAGACAGTCTATTTCAGTGTGGGTTATTTGGGGTTGCTCATGTCCCAGGTATTCCACACTTAGGCTCCCGGAGGTGTCACATAGAACTGTGGGTTTTCCAGGACAGGGGCTGTGCTGAGTCAAACCTCCATGACTAAGTGTGGGGACCAAATGGTCTAGAGTGTACTGTCTTGGGTTACAGTATGACTGAGAGAGAATGGCTTACCTGATATTCACAAGACCCTGGGTTTTAACCTAGCACAGGAAGACAGGAGAAAAGACCAAAGAAGAACTAGAAGTCAGGGGAAGAGGTGGAAGCTTCACAGACATGGAGGCCAGAAGTCCAGGTGTGAGGTGTGGGTGGGGCTGGGACCCTCTGCCTGCACCACGGAGGGTCTATCCTCGGCCTCAAGATGGCCATCTCCTTGTCTTTGGCAGCAGACAGTGTCACAGTAGTCCCTATGAGACATTCTTTCTGTATTCATCTATCCAAATTGCCCTCTTTCCAGTTCTTTTCAAAGATGGATAAACGTTTACCGAGCCTCTTAGTTTCCAACACGAGGCGCTAGGAAAGACGGTGCTACTTTGCAGCATTTTACACAGATCTAGAGACATACTTTCATTCAGCTCCAGGAGTTTAGGAGGACTTCTCTTTCCCAGAAGTTGGACCAAGCAAACTGGTGTTGACTCCTTGGGTCTTCCCCTAACTCCTCCCTTATTGTAGTACCGAGCTCTAACTAGTCGTCCAGGAATGGGGCAGATCTTACCACTATGTCTGGTAGTGTAGGTCCAAAGCCCTGCCACCCCAATCAATAGCCACTAATTCCACTTCCAAAGTGAGTGATGCTGGTGGAATCTTGGCATCAAGCCATCCTCTCCCTCTCTCCAACACGCATTCTGGCTCACTCTCCAGCCCAGCCTTCTTCCCCTCCCCCGGCTCACAGCCATGCCATGCCCACCCCCGCCGACGTCTAAACCTCTGATAATGCTGCCTGCTCCAACCTAAAGACAAGGACTTGGTGTCTTTGTACTTATTTGGATATTGGTATCAACTGCAGTCATTTCCTATTGCATTCCTTTATGCGTGGTCTCTCTCAGGACCTTTTTAGATTTTTGTCCATTGGGTGGACCTTGCCCATTTCTTTTGGTCTATCTTCATTAAGACCCATGCTCTTCACCCGCCGAACACTTAGTGCTTTGGGTATACTCACAATGCTTGCTTTAAAAACATGTTTACAGGCTGTAGTCACGTGGTTCTTATTAGCATCCTTGGCTACGTTTCATTGTTTCCTAATACCTTACTCATCACAAGAAGTGGCTTTCAGCTGTGGTCCTGCAGCAACTTGCTAGCGTCCCTCTCAGGCAGCTACTCTACAGCCTATATACCTGCTGAGGAATTGCTCCTCTCCCTGCTGCTTGCTTTATTCCAAATTGCCCTTTTTAAGGATGCTAATCTTAGTGAGTTGGGGCTCTCCCACCTCTAGTAAAAAATCTCTTTGCAACAAGTGACATTTGCAAAGAGTTTCTTTCCATGTAAGGCCATACTCTGAAGTATGGGGCTTTGGAAGTCAACACAAAGAACCATCCCTCCCATATTAACACTCTGACAGGATGTCATGAGCTACTGGTTGACACTCCACCTCTGCCCATATGACCACACAACCCTCATGCAGAAAAGCCCTAACCCTAAACCCATCTCCCTACCAAGAACCACATAAAGCATTAGCAGTAAACCCACCTGTTACCTACTTTAAATCCCTGTAATCAGAGAGTTAAGCCAACACCACTGTGCATTCACTAGTAATTCCAGGAGCTGGGAATGTGGGAAGACTGTGGAGACCTCTCTCTACTCACAGGAGTTTTGAGCACAGGACTATAACAGCGACCTCTCTCGGACAAAATGAACATCTTTCACTGTGACACAAGACCCTGCCACAGCCCCAGAGTGGCATGAAAACCAGTCTCAAAGAAGGGACTTCTCATACATCAGTGATGTAGGAGAGGGATCCGTTTGCAGCCGTTCCCCACCAGCAATTGCTACTGAAGCCCCTTCGCTACCATCCCTATCCCATATCCCCATACCACAGTCCCCTGGAAAACAGCCCTTTATCAGTATGAACCATCACACTTTTACCAACATTCTCATGAAAGTAACCCCCTCCCCTGCATCTCCTTACCAATACGCTCCTGTCAACACTGCCTGACAGCCATGCACTCATTAACATCTCATGGGGCCTATTAAACATCGCTATGTTAATATACTTCCATCAGTGTCTACACCCCTGTATCCTCAACCATATCTGTTACCACCCACAATGCACAGACACACACACAGACACACGCACACGCATCTCCCCAAGTCTGATACCACTACCTCTGCACAGAAGCTATCGCCTTCCCCCATACCAGCATCCTCTACCACTGTCCCCTCCTCAGATTCTCCCCATCAGTAGCATGTTCTTACCATCCCTCTACAATTTCTCTTCATGACCCTCCCCTTACCATCACATTCCCTCAACTCACTTCCTTCCCCTCAGCATCTGCCAGTCATGACTTTCCAATCACCTCCCACCTTTCCCTCAGTACTACCCTTTACTAAGTTCCCCCGAGCTCATTCCCCTCATCAGACTCCTCTCACTACTTCCCTCATCAGGATCCACTCCCACCTTCCCCTCACCAACATCGCCTCTCATATTCCCCCAAGAAAATCCCTCTCAAATAGGACCAAACCATATTTCTCTTGCTGTTGTGGGTCCTTCCAATGTTCCCTTGCTTGGTGGCCTTCAGACCTCTATGGTACTGACTTGGGTCAGAGTTCAGGAACCTGAACAGTAATGGAATAGGTAGTAGCCAGTCCCTACCCACCCTCCAAATGCATGCAAGACCATTTTCAGATGCTCCCAGGATGCTGGCTATACCATCCTAGACTTCTTTCCACCACAGCATGGTCAGTCAATCTCACACCCTGCTTTGGGGTCATGAGAGCCACTGTTCTAGTTAGTTTTCTTTCCTCTGATGAAACAGGGACAAAAAGCAACTCTGGAAGGAAAGAACATGCTTGGCTTACACTTCCGTGTCACAGTCCATCGTCCAGGGAAGTTGGAACAGGAGCTCAGACAGAAACTGAAGCAGAAGCCATCAAGGAATGCTGTTTCCTGGCTCGATCCCTCTGGCTCATGCCCAGCCAGCTTTCCTATGTAACCCAGGACCACCTGCCTAGGGTTAGCACTGCCCACAGTGGTCAGAGTCTTCCCACATCAATTAACAATCAAGGCAATTCCCCCACAGATTCAGCCACAGGCCAATCTGATCTGGGCAGTCACTCAGCTGAGACTCCCTCTTCCCCGATAACTCTTGGTTGTAGCCAAACTAAGCACAATGTCTCTTCGTGAAAATGATAACATGCCTAGCTACTCCACCTACATATCCCTGTGATAGACATACTAGAGGGAAGAGTTTTAACTCAACCTTCTCTGCCATTCTGCAGCCTCTCTGGGTTGCTACTCCATTTCTCGGTTACAGTACTGGGGATACAGCTAGGGTTGGAACCTAAGTCCATTAGGCATCTCTGCCTGAGGAAGGGATAAAGGAAGCCATGCCCTGGAGAGAGAAGTCTTCTAAGCCTCTTTTGTGTGGCTCCTTTGTGTGATGGGCAAAGCCTGGGTTAGGCTGGGATTGGGTACTGATCTCCTCAGTCCTCAATGTCCCTGGATCTCAGGAGAAGAATGCAGAATCCTCATCAGTCGGCTTCCTCTCACGACGGCCCCAACCCTGGGTGGGACCCACATTTGAGATGGGCAGCTCAGACAGCCATGAGAGATCCCATGGGACACAGCAATATACCAACGGCCTCCATGGTCCTCTTTCATCCACAAGCACAGCCATTGCCTGGTTCTGCATACAGACTGTGGAAGGCTTCTCCCACAAAGCTCTGAGCCAATGACCTTCCCCACTGAAGTTCTATGGAATCCTAAACTCCAGAAAGGAGCAATCCCCCTGTGCTGGTATGGCATCAGCCTTTTTCAGCCTAGTTCTTCCAAAGCTAGGGTCCTGTATCCCCCATCCTACACACACACACACACACACACACACACACACACACCACACACACCACACACACCACACACACCACACACGCACGCACACACACACGCATGCACCCATGCATATGCGCGTCCTCTGAGACCCAAGTCGCTGCTGTAAAGGACAAAGAGAATGAGCCCTGAGAGGTGCTTAGGCAAATGCTCTTGGAGGGCAGCAGAGGGCAAACCCACTGAGTCACAGTGGTCATCTTTGTCCTGTCTCCAGCAAAAGCACAGGCATTTTTTTTTACACACAAATTGGCCAGGGCCTCTCATCAGAATTGGCCTGGCCCTTCCAAGCACCTTGTTAGGTACGGTCTAATTTGTAGGAACATCCTGCACTGAAGGATTCCACCCCTTTGCCTGCAACCCGTGGGAAATGTCTGTCCATGTTGCTTCCCCTGGTTGATGATGTTCCCTTCCCAGAAACGAATGACTTAAATTTCCAGATAGCCCATCTGTCTTTAAAAGGCATTTAGAGTCCCTGCCTCACTTAAGAAGAATGTACCACCCTCTGTTTTCTTTTTATAGC